CTGTTCAGTGCCCTGAGGTGACTTCTGTTGTGACTTGGCGCTATATAAATAAAATGAGTTGAACTGGCCCAGTGCAAAGACTTGCTTTTTTTCAGGGGCTGGGTGTGGACTCAAGAAGATTCCTGAAACCATTGGAATCCCAAACCACTGGAACTGCTGTGAGCGCCATGTTTAAAAGATCTGAGTTAGTTTCACTTCCCCTCTGCTCAGGGATTAATTTGTAAACCGATTGATGCCGGAACGCAAATAGCGGGCGGGTCGGCGGAGGGTGCAGGGTGGTGGGAGGGGCGGGGGTGCAGGAGAGGGAGGGGAAGCAAAGGTCGCAGGGGGTTCTGGGGGTCCTCCCCGAGAAAATTTTGAACAAAGTAGATGCCATTTTCTGCATTTTGGTGTATTTTAATGGGTTGTTAAACATCCACGTTTACCTAGATTGGTAAACACTTAATTGAGTAATTATTAGGAACAACAGCTCTCTTCTTGTGCATGAACAGAGCAGCTCCGCTTCTGTCAAGCATCCACAACCCCCGAGCCCAACTCTTCGTTGAATTCAATCCTGCGCGCTCCATTTTTTTAAATGAAAGTAAATTGGACTGTCTCTTCGACATTTAGATCGCTGTTATTTCTACAAATTAGCGCAGTTGTTTTGATACGTGATGTGATGTGAATAATACACATCAAACATTTCTCTCGTTGCAATTTTAATAAATAAACAAAAATGTATTAATAAGCCACTTAAAAACTGGCAAACTGATTTGCAATTTAGTTGTGCTGTTAAATTATAGATTTGAGTTTTTTAACAAAAATGCGCAATGACTTTGGACTTTTAGGGGTGGAGATTTGAGTTACCGGATCCAAGCAAACAGTTTCCAGAACGCACCCGGTCAAAATAAGAGAGTTCCCAGATCTTGTTCCGGCAGGATACGGCTCAAATAAAATAAAAAAAAAGAAGACAAAATACTTCACTTCAGCATAAATAAGTCGTTAGCAGTGGAATAACAGGACCTCATTTTATTTTAGTTTGTGATTTTTTTTTTGAATGGTCAGTCATGTAGTGAAATTGGGTCAAAGCACCACATCCAGCTGCCTTCACAGTCAGTTTTCAATTTGACTGATAAAAACTGTTTGAAGCACCATTTTACTAGTATTTTCAGCTCTTCTACATCACCAGCTGCTGTTTACAAGTCCTGTTAGAAAACTTACGAGCAACTCTTGCTCACAGCAGAAATCAGTCAAGCGAGCGTTCACAAACACAACTGTCATTTTAAAACTACTGGAAAACACACACACGGCAGGTGCTCGGTCGTAATGTCGGCAATCCTGTGCCATAAACACAATTGTATTACAAAAATAGGCTGGTGATGTTAAGACATCTGTTTGCAGGAATGCTGACATAAACCCTGTGATGTGTGGCAATAAAATGCCTGTGATCCTTTACAAGAATTCAAAACACAACAAAGGGAGGGTTAGATTTACTGAGAGAGATGTTAGAAAACTATACTGGTTCCTAATTTTATTTTAAAAGAAGAATCAAGAACTAGTTCTAGTACCAGCACTGGTCTAGCGCTTGAACCACTTTAGTGGTAAAACCCTCATCATTATATTGGTTCCAACGCCGTGCATCTGTGACATCTTTCCATCTCACATGCAAACAACTGGACAATACCCGCACCCTCTATTTCTGCTGTTCTTCACTTCCTGTTGTGACTGACTGGTGGAAGCTCTGGCAACTACCTGATAACGCCATAATTGCACTTGTGTTTTCATTATTTCTGCCGTCCATTGCCAGCTCCTTGCAAATCAGATCATTTGCATATCCACTGCTGCTCTGCATACGGACCAAAGTCATTCAAATCAGACCATTTCTTTGCCATTGCTTTTAGTCAGGGAGTGTAAAATAATCAGAACCTTGCTACTTTTAGTGCTGACACATGTTATTGTTGGAACAACCGTAATATGTTTTGATAAACTGTATTTTCCGTTCGGTTTACAGACTTTAATCTCCCAGACAGGAGTTTATAAACTATCCACTGTCATGTTGCTGTTTTATTTAATGTGATTAGAATATTTTTTCACTTTATTCCTGACAGTCTGAATTAAAACCAAATAAACAGTATTTGTTGTGATTTTTTGCTCTCCTTCATATATTTGTAAGCTCGAACATTTATGGACAGTGTGGCGTCTCAGATTCAGACTCAGTTGGTTTTCATTCACACTATTGCATGATAAGGCAAAAAAAACAAAAACATTTACCCAGGACTTGATGTATAATATGATTTTTAATTTTTTTACTCTTTATTTAAAAAGGCAAATCCCACTGAGATTTTTTTCAAGCGAGGCCTGGGCCTGAAGGTAGTCGAACATTCATGTTTTTTTGGTCTGTGGGAGCAAACCGGAGTACCCGGAGAAAACCCACACAAGCACGAGAAGAACATGCAAATTCTACACAGAAAGACCCCAGGTCCAACCAGGGATTGAACCCAGGACCTTCTTGCTGTGAGACAACAGTGCTAACCACTGAGCCATCACGCTGCATGATAAAAATCGTTTAAAAAAAGTGCATAAAAAATAAAATGACATAACATAAAAATAAATTATATAAATAGATGTTTGCCACAATTCAAATGGAATGGTTATTTTTTAAATACCATAACAACTAGATTGATTGAGCAGTAACTATTGTGAACAAATCAAAAGTTCAAAGAAGCAAAGTGCAGCAGCCACACATCAGACATCAGAGTGAGTCTGGTAGCGTTCCAGTTACAGAGGAAGAAGATACTTTACATTTTAGTTTTAAATGGTATCAATGCCATCCATCCATCATCCATCCATCCATCCATCATCCATCCATCCATCCATCATCCATCCATCCATCCATCCATCCATCCATCATCCATCCATCCATCCATCCATCCATCCTTCTATCCATCTATCCTCTTGTACCCACTTATTTTTTTTGGGGTCATGGCGCTGGTCACTGGTGCACATACAGTATACAGTAGTCACTGTGTGCGAAGTGGGGGGCACCCTGGACAGGTCGCAAGTCCATCACAGGTGGTTTCAATACACAAACAAAAAAAAAAGAAAATCTTTTTTTTTTTTTTCTGATGTGTGATTTGCTGCTCTGTTACTCCTTGCTGTTAGATTTACTAGAACTGTCAATTCCTCAATAACAACTGTAAACCTGAAAATAAAACAAAAAACTAAAATAACAAATATCTAGTTACCTACAAGATGAAGAAGTCTACTCTAAAATATATATTTAAATTTTTATCCAATAAATCTATATATATATATATATATACATACATA